TATTTTTGTGAAGTAGTATAAAATGGTCTAATTTTAAGATTTATGTATAGTTGCCTTAACAGTGTCATAATAATTTCATCAGCTATTTCTCTTCTTGCCATAAAAGAAAAAAATTTCATTTCATTTCTTTTTTTAAATCAATTTTCATAGCCATGTTGGGGTGGAAACAACACGACTAGATGCTCATTCTGAAATGGGGAACACTGAAATTCTGGAAAAGGAGACTTCAGAGAGTCTCAGTAACGGCACCAACAGCAATGTGGAAGCAGCCAAAAGACTGGCCAAACGCCTGTACCATCTAGACAGATTCAAAAGATCGGACGTCGCGAAACATCTAGGCAAGAAGTACGTGCTTCCACGTGGCTGTCTGTGGGAACATTTTGTTTTTGGTGTGTTTTAAAAATGATTTCCATTTTAATGAACAAGTCTGTTCTGTTTTCTTATAGCAATGAATTCAGCAAACTAGTTGCAGAGGAGTATCTGAAGTTCTTTGATTTTACAGGGATGACTGTGGATCAGTCTCTGAGGTAAGATGAAACGTCACCTCTGTTCTTCATCACCTGCAAATAACAGCTCCTTAGAAGAGAAAGTAGCATGTGCGGATTGGACTCTAGGTTTCTTTTCTTTTCTTCTTCTTTTTTTTCCTGATCCCACTTCCACTTGCTCTATGCATTGTAAATCCTAAACAGAGAGTAAGAAAAATGTAATAAGGATAGATGTACAGAAGACTCCAGGCAGAGAGTGAGAAAAATATATTTGTTTTCATTTCATAAACATTAACCAATAGTCTACATCTAGTAGTCAGCTCAAGTCTAGATAGCATAGTAAAGAATGGATTTATGGGGCTAGAGAGATGGCTCAGCTAGCACCTAAACAGTGTCCTAACAACCATCTGTAACTCCGGTTTCAGGGGATCCAACACCCTCTTCTGACCTCTGCAGGCATTACTCAATATGAGTGCACTTACATACATGTGGGCAATACACTCATACACATAAAATAAAATTAATAAATAAAATTTTAAAAAGAAAAGAAAAGCTAAGACGTACATGTGTGAGAGAGTAAAAAGAAGTGGCAGGACTTAAACTCAAGCCAAAGTCTGTGTCTTGCAGCAACATGATACAAGTGCAATGTGACCAAGGGAACTATGTCTTCAAATTCTCCAAGAAGATCAAATTTTTTAAATATACTTAATAACAACCTAAGCAGAGAGACTCATTTTCAAAGCCAAATTCAAAGAAACCCACTATATAAGAAGACAGGAACATTCTATACTTAAGACAAAACTCTCAACCTCCTTGGGCCTTCCCAAACAAGCAGAGAAGAGAGAAATGAAGACACCTGTCCACTTGGTCAGCACTTAAGAATGTCTCACAGTCCAGTTCTGTGCTGTTTAAGGAATGACGTTTCACAAGTAAAAGTGAATATAAATTCCAGGATAGCCAGCTGTAAGAACCTATTTTAAAGGTGTGAAAGTTCTTACAACACCTCGCAATCAAAGAGTGTGCTTGAAAATTATTTGTAATGCATGAAGCAACATGTAGTTAACAGTGAGTTGTTCTTCAATTGCTCTGATTTGAGGGTGGGGGGAGGGGGAAATGTAGCCTTGTATGTAACCTAAAAACTACATACAGTACTGCAGTCAAGAAAAAGTTTTCCATTACCAATTCTGAAAGCTGCTTAAAATAGTTGACAGAATGAGGTAATTCCATATAAGAAGAGAAATCAAATACTTATGTAATTTTCAAGAATTATTGCTACTTTTGCCAAATTTTATAAATTAAGTTTCACAGTCCCTTGGGACATAATTCAGCAGTATGTTCAGTTATTTAGAAAACTTCAACTTGAAGACAATTTTAGTATGGGGTGAGTAAGTTTAAGGACACTACATGTGAAATAAAAATGAAAACTAGCCTGGCATCATGGCATACACCTTTAGTCCCAGCACTTGGGAGGAAGAGGCAGATGGATCTCTATGAGTTCAAGGCCAGCCTGGTCTACATAGTGAGTTCC